TGGTCATACCCAGGTCTGTCTGTGTCCAGTTCCTATGTCCAGTCTGTGGTCATACCCATGTCTGTCTGTGTCCAGTTCCTATGTCCAGTCTCTGGTCATACCGAGGTCAGTCTGTGTCCAGTTCCTATGTCCAGTCTGTGGTCATACCCAGGTCTGTCTGTGTCCAGTTCCTATGTCCAGTCTGTGGTCATACCCAGGTCCGTCTGTGTCCAGTTCCTATGTCCAGGCTGTCCTCTTTCAGCCTCCTTCATGGAAACCAGCAGGGGGCAGAACAGGGGCTGTTGCACAGTTCAGAATCGTCTCAGAAGACACAAAGTGAGAAAGAGGGAAAGAGGGAAAGAAATATTGAGATATACACATTTCGCTTTATTATGTTGGTTATGTGGATCTTTGCTGATTAATCACTGATGGAGTTTCTCCTTGTGGCCAATCTGCTGGCTATGTCCTGCCCTTAGCCCTTTCCACAGTCATTATTATTCTTGAGCACACCTAATAATGGTAATTACATTTATCACTTTTCATCCCACAGGATACCAAAGCTCTTCACACACAGGAGGGGACCCAGTTCCTCCCCAGTGAAGAGCAGCCCCTCCTGGGAGACACACTGCAGCCCCACTGCACAGCAGCTCAGGGCAGGAGAGAGACACTGCTGCTCCAGGGGGTAAAGGGAGGACAGACTGTGCAGGAGCTGACTGGAGTCGCATGTGGGTGGAGTATAGAATAATAAACACAAACAGAAGGCGAGTCAATGGGAGGTCCTCACACAGACAGAGATGTGTAAGTGTGAGACTGTGTGGGTATGAGTAGGTATGTGTGAGTGTGTGTGCATGTGTATTTTGATGTGTGAATATGTGTGTGAAAATATGAGTGTGAGTATGAGTACCTGTGTGTGTATGTGGATAATGATTATGTGTGTGTGTGCCTGTGTAAATGTGTGCATGTGTATTATTATATGTGCATGTGTATTATCAGGAGTATGTGTGTGAGTGTGTCTACCTGTGTAAGTGTGTGCATGTAGATTATGAGCATGTGTATGAGTGTGTGGATATGTGAGTGTGAGATACTATAAGTGTGTGTGCATTTGTATTATTATGAGTATGTGTGTGTTTGTATATGCATGTATTGTATGGGTCTGTGTTCATCTGTTCTTCTGCACATATCCTTGTGCACGAGCTTGTGTGTGTGTGCACACCTGTGGGCGCTTGTGTGCGTGGGAGCGCTTGTGTGCCTCTCTCTGCTCCCCTGCGGCCGCTGTGCCTGCCATCCTGGCTGACCCCGCGAGGCCGCAGCACGGCGCACTGAGCAGGGTGAGGCCGGATCTCTGCCAGACTGCTGTGGCTGCTGCTGTCAGCCAGAGAGCTTTCTTTCTGCATTAAATAAATTAGAGAGAGAGAGGCCTAGAGTTATGCTGGGTGTTGTAGAAAAACAGTTTGCAGTGTCCAGGACTCTGCTGGCGTATGCCAGTATATGCTGGAGTTTACTGGTGTTTTAGTGGAATGTTCTGGGTATATAGGCATTAACTGGCATTTAAGTGGAATATTCTGGGGTATATACAGTAGGTGTTTGTTGGGGTTTAGTGGAATATTCTGGGATATATAGGTGTTTGCTAGTGGTTTAGTGGAATATTCTGGGTACATTGGCATTAACAGGCATTTAAGCAGAATATTCAGGGGTATATGGGTGTTTACTGCTGTTTTAGTGGAATATTCTGGGATGTATAGGTGTTTACTCAGGTTTTAGTATAATATTCCCTTGTATATAGTTTTTTGATGGTGTTTTAGTAGGATAGTTGAGTTAACTGCAATATATTTAATGTTTCTGAAACTAGGAATAAGTGTAATTTACTGAAGCTTACTAGCATTTCCTAGTACACACTGGGGCTTACTGAAATATCCAAGGTCTACCAAACTGTTCTATGGTTTGTCGGCATATATTGTGGTTACTAGAATAAATTGAAATTAATTCGCTACAAATATTGTTTTTCACTGATTCGGTCAAACCCCAATTCAGGCAGAGCAGAGATGAGGCGGGATTTGAATAGCAAGCTTTGTTGGGGTCCGACAACCCTCAACCTCCGAGTGAGGAGAACGAACGTCTGTCAGCAAAGAGGGGGGCTGTCACCCCACTTGCCCCACCCTTGCAGGAAGCTGCTGGTGAAGTTGAGATGGAGTTGGAGGGAGGAAGGCGTGCAAGAATGAAAGAGGAAGAGTCAGCAAGGGTGGGATATGACTAGATAGGCCGCAGAAGTGGGGGAGATCAGAGGTTCTGGGTAAAATGCCATCGCATCCCAAGGAGAAGAGTCCAGCTCATTTAAGTGCTTTAAATTTAGCTCCTGGACATAGACAATAAGGCCACTGAAACTGCTGATTCATATAAATATGTTGGCGCTGTTTCTGATTCCACACTTACAAGGAATGCAAATCTAGATTTTATTCATGAGACATAAAACTGTTCTGCTTGTGTCAAGTGAGGCCATTTAAAACTGACAAAGCTGCTGTGACCTTGTTTATAAGATGATCGCACAGTACCTTAACTTCAAACATTGAAATGGTGCATACTGGTGCACATGGGGTTACTGGTTCATACTGGGGTCACTGGTTCATGCTAGGGTTACTGGCATTAATGGGATATGCAGGGGTGCAAATTGGTGTTACTAGAATATACTGGAAATATTAGAATATACTAGGGTTACTGGGACTCATATGAAATATGAATGCAAAATAGATCAAGGAACAAAAATGAACCCAAACGACTGATGAAGGGAGAAGACAAGATTCTTTGAAAATATAAATTTTATTGCTCTTTAACACTATAAAAACAACTTTTATTTTTTAAAGGACAACAGAAAAAAAAAACTAGAGTATTTAATTTTCATAACACTGCTCCAATCTACCATAACATACAAAATCATAATAAATATTTTTTGTTTTGTATTTACAGAAATGATAATCCCTTTAACACATCAGTGCATGTTGTATACAGACAGTCCGGGGACAGAGTGCAGTGTGTGTGCGTGCAGTAAGTGTGTGATGGAGTGTGCCATGTGTATGTGTGTGCTCAGTGTGTGATGCAGTGTGCAGTGTGCG